TTTCTACACCTTCTTTCTTGGCAGAGAATATCAGATCCATGTCCTACTGATCCAAACGTAGGTTCTTCAGTTTCATTCAGTGTAAGAATATTCAGTTGGCTTTGGACATCTTATAGAAATAGTATAAAGGGAAAAAGAGTCAAACAATTTTTTCAGAAAATGCATGAAAATGTTTCAGAATTTAAGAAACTAACATTTTAGGCTTATACAGTATGACACTAGGGAAAGCTCAAAAAGTAAGTGCAGGTTTTGGATTTGCACAAGGACAGTTTTTATTATCTCCCTCTAATATTGCATACATGTTATAACCAACTTAAATCCTTGGTCACATCACTTTATATGGGCTGCATGAAAAGGAGAAGAGACAAGCTTCCTCATCTTTGTTTTTAAAGTTTGAGTTGCATATAAATTGAGCCATTTTTTTTAATAATGCAATAATTTACTGCTGCTAGTGATGGAAAGGATCTCCTGGAATGGAGGGCACTGTCTTTCAGAGCAGGGCATAGCGTTACTAGTTAAAATGACAAACAAAAATGACTAGACAAAAGCTGAGCTGAGCAGGAGTTGTCATCCCTTTGGGGCTCTATCTCAGGCTGGTGGCATTCGACTATGCTGGCAACTTGTGGTGGGGGATGACTGGCTCCTGTAGGACTGTGTAATGTGAACATGAGAGGTAAATGTGGAAGAATGTAAATTATCAGAATTCAGAAGGTATTTGGTTTAGTCCACACACAAAATGCTTCCTTAGTTAGCAGTCTCAAAACAATACCACCTCTAGCCTTAGAGGTCTAGAGGATCTCTAAGGATGGTGAAGTAAAATATATCTGTATATCTATATTTCTGCCCCATCACCTCCTCCCCATAGAATGTGTTGTGTTGCATGAGCTGTTTTAAACTGTAAGTAGCAGAAGAGCTCTTTCACTATTACAAACTTGTATTTCTAATGCCATTTACCAATATTATTTCATCATCATTATTATATCAAGAAACCCACTTATCATCCTGTGAGACTACCTGTTTGCAATACATAACTTTAGTGGCTGGGAATTAAAATTCCCAGTTTAATCACCTGGGAACTGAAGTAGAAATTACATATAACCTCAGGCATGAACTAGAAGCTCAGGTAAAATGCAGAAAAATATTGTCAATAACAAGGTGTGTGTTTTCAGATAACAAGTTTACAGATTTCTTCCAGTAATATTTCTCATGCAATAAACAGTTCCTAATTAAGGTCTCCCATCTCTTTGTATTTTTTCTCACATCATGACATTTGTATAGCAGCATTTTGTAACTGAGTAACAGTAAAGATGAAAATGCAAGTATCTGCATTTTATTTAGCTGTGAAAGCATGCTTTACAGTTTATCATTCAGTCCAAGAATTTAGTTATCTTAAATAGAAGCTAAATTTTTCTGTGACAAGTACCAGTTACAACTAAAGAGTCAGCATTTTTCACCAATAAATCTAATCTACACGCATTAAAGGGAAGAATTTGCTAACATTTTTTTTATGGCTTGGTTCCACTGTAATATTTAATCTGTTTTAATTTATCCATATAATAAAAACAAAGAAGTAATAGTGGTATTTCTGTTTTGTGATGTGGTAGTTATCATTCTTAGAGATTGCTAGTGTGACTGAGGCATTAATGTGTTATAAATTATAATAAATACATATTTAAGAAAAAATATAAATAATATTAAATTTGTTATTCAGAAACACAAAGCATTCCAGACTTGTTACAAAAGAATTATGAACTGCTTTATAGATGCACATGATCAAAGGAGAATTACGGCTTTGTCTTTGAAAGGTAATTCACCTGCTTCTAAAGAAGATTTCACATGGCTGTCAAGGGAAAGGTTGAAGGCAATCCCTTGTAAGAAAGCAATATCTATCAGGATGCATTAGGTAAAACTAACTCTCATAGTATCTTTATACTCTTGACCTTCCAAACACATTTATAGGTAATGCTTCTGACAGCAGATACAAATCCTTACAGTTCTGTGGGAATATATTTCAGTTCTGCATTGAAACTATATTTTCTGTAGTATTGTCATTTTTGTAAGTTATGAAATTTGAGTTATATGGTAATACAATGCATATTGCAGCCTACACTTTGCAAAATCTAGCCATGATCTTATAATGTTCACAGTAAGATAAGTTTCTTCTGTGTGGCAGTTGGAGAATGTTATAATCTGGGTCTAATCATCAACGTCTGGCAATGAAGAAGAAGAAGCTTATTAAACTGACAGAGTCAGACACTCTGAAAGGCAGGTTCTGGATCCAAACTTTCAAGATCTAGCTGTTCCTGTAATAGAGAGAGGCAAGTGGTTTGAGGAGACAAAACAAAGACACAAGAAACAGCTTCCTAGAACAATGTGTTTGTTTGTTTGTTTGTTTGTTTCCAAAAAAAATCTGCAGAAAATGTGGTGTGAGAATACATATAAATAGAATTTGTTGCTTTTACATAAGAGTTCCTTTTTGAATAAAAATTGATGTGAAGCTGGATTTATGGAAATGCCAATATGCTTTTCTTTCTCCTTAGAAGTTTGTAGAATTAAAAAGGTTAGTTTAGTGTTTGTTTGCCATTGTCTCATTCTACGTTTCCAGAATGTACATTCTCAGTCTGGGAGCAGGCACAATGAAGGAAAGTAATAAAATGCATGTTTTGTAAAATATGTTAAATGTTATATCCTCAGCATCCTCCAGGAAAAATTACAGGCTTTGTATAGAGCTATGCATTCTGTCAGCATATATGTTGTTCAGCGATACAGTTTAGCCAGAAAAAAAGTGGTGAGAGGAAAGGTAAGGAAACATGAGAGCACTGGACTAGATCTGCACTGCCACCTTTGTGCTACCAGCCATTCTGCAATGATTGCCCCGTGTTTATCTGTAGCTGGAAGCGTATGTTAAGTGACTCACTGGAAACCCTCCCTAGGGTAGTTTGGCTTACCCATATGCTGGTGCGCTGCTCACCACTTCCCCTCTGCGTGCTACCAGAATATAGCAGCATGTCTTGTGGTTCACTTTTATCATCTCCCTGGCATGAAGCCCTCTCCATGGGAAGGTATGATTTATAGGCGTAGCTGTTTCAGCAGACCTCATGAATATCCAGGGAAATAGCAAAGGCTGAAAGAGAGGAAGGGAAAGCAGGAGGAAAATTTCTTAATGCATGAGCAGAAATTAATTTTGGAAGTAGGCTTTTAAACTAATTCATCTTATTCCTTTTAAAAACCCTAATTTTTTATTGCTGTCCAGAGATATACCTGTTCCCTCCTCACTTCCATTAAGGAGGCTGTATCTGAAGAAGTGTTAAAGAACAGTATGCTGTTAACCTCAGTATTTTCTTCTCACATACAAAGTTAAATGTCATCTGGATATTACTGACAAAAAGCTCTGTCTCTTACCACCAGAAACAGAGGATGTCATGTGAAGACCAACCCTGGGGATCTCTGTGTCCTGAGACAAAGACAGCAAAAAATCAGGAAAGGTTAAGGGAAACTTCTTTGCTTGCAACGCTCTGGGGAAGACCCCCTAAATTGTTTATGTCCCTGTGACAACAAGCACATTTGGCTCTCAAAAATCCCCAAACTGGCTCTATTCTTCGAGCTATCTGCCTGGGAACTCAGTCTGCTGACAGCTAGAATAACTCAGGGACAATCTATTTGTGGGTTATTCAGGACCCTGAACAAAGGATCTTAGTCAAAAGTTCTTGGGGACCTGGAACTGTGTGCCTGTCTCCCTTTGTTATCCAGCAAATGCTTATGTCACTTGAGATCTGTGCCTAACCAGGCGAGGATTTGAGGACTGTACCAATTAGACATGGAAAGATTTTTCTTGGATATAATTTTTTGCTAATTACAATGAGTCATCATCACTAAATGCTTCAGGGCTTGCATGCAGTATTTTCACACTATTTCAACACTACATTGGAGAGAGTGTAAAAAAAGTACTTTCCAGATGTCCCTAAAAATAGGAATGAAAAAACTGTGTTTAATAGAGACATTTCTAGATTAACGGAGTTACCCACTACTAAAGATGACCAGATATAGACTGACTGTGACAATGGATGCTCAGTGTGCACCTGGTGCCAAGCCTGCTCTCCAGAAAATTTCCCTTAGTTGAAGCCTATCCTGAAATAAAAGATGGTCAGCCTAGTTGCATGATTTTTATTAGCTGCAGTTTCATGCTGTGTGAATGCCAACTTGAGATGTTGTTGGTTTGACCAATGCCAGAGATGTAATGATGTTAAGTTGTGGAAGTGGACAGAATGAGGCTGGGTGTGGAGAAGGGGCTCTCATGGTGTCTTGGGGGGTTATGCCTTGGGGCGTTTATGTCTTGGTAGACTGGAAGATAAGGAGCTCTCACATCTACATCAATGGGATGCAATGGAGACCTCAGAAAGGACTAGGAGGTTTTGAATTTTCATGCCAATTTTCCAGCTAGAGACGAAATTGCTCTGAGGCCAAAAGAAAGAGAACAGAACTGAAGAAATTCATTATTCAGACTAATTTGACAAGCATAGCCATTCAGTACAGCAGAGAATTAAGTTTTGAATTTGAAGATATTTTTATTACTGTTTTTTCCTTTGTTTCTAGAAAAATACTCTAGAACCTTTAGAAACAGAAAGTGCTTTAATAATTCAGATTCACCTAAAGAGCAGTAAATATTATTAGATATTATATCTAATGGTTTCCTAAATTGCATTTTTTTCTTTCAAGAAGGCTTACTAGAAATATACTGCCTTGAAAAATCACTACTCCTTTATCTTTTTTGTTGACTCCACCTCCTATCCCCAAATTTGAAACTGAAAGATGCAGGCCTAGTATTGTAAACCCTTTTAGAAGTTCATAAATCAAGAAAAAGGTGTAAAACTTTGTGCTAATAACATATTCAAAACAGGCATATTGTCATAAAGCTGGTCAGTAAGAAGATAATGATTTAACTTAACCTGTTTTTGAGTAAAATGTTAACACTAACAGGGGTTTTTTTTCTGTTTTTCAAGAACTAGAGGCAGAGGAATGGTGCAAACATCTTTGCATGGAGTGTCTAGGAACCAGGCTCAATGACATAAGTCTTGGGGAACCAGATTTGCTTGCTGCTGGAGTCCAGAGAGAACAAAATGGTAAGTAAACATCTAGATCAGTTATTATGTGATTTTCCATGTTATCTTTGCATGTTATTGTTTTTGTGAAGGATTTTTACTATTAGCTAGAAGCACTTCATTAATAACTAAACATGTGGATGTGTTTTGGAGTCTCAATCCTAGTTTTTCTACAAATAAAAAGTAAATTTTGTGATGTATTCATTGCATTCATATTTTCCTGTCATGGGAAATGGTGACTATGACATTTCTGGTTCTGTAAAAATGGCTTCTTTGCAGACAAATAAAAAAAGCATCTGTTGTGTCACAGCCTTTAAAAGACAATGATGAACATATCAACACCACTTTGGACTGCAAAATACATATTATTTTTAAACACATACCTGTCTTGAATAATGGACTCAAGGTCATCTAAATGTTGTCAAATAGAGGTGAAAAGGGCAATGACAGATGCTAGTCAGCACTAAACCTGAGCTTGTAAGTCTTCTTCTAAAGGCTATTTGGAACGGAAGTTTGGATGAGACACATGCAGAGGAAGGATGTTAGTGGATGGAATATGCAATAACAAAAGAAAATCTGTGATTATTCTGTCATTTAATTCCTATTAAGGAACATAAGGGCAACACAAAATGTCCTCATTTATTCCTCCCTAAATTACAGCACTCAGTGATTATTACTGTCTTCATGTTTTTATAAAATCCAGTAGTTTTTAACAAAGTAATAGAACAAACTGTCTCAATGGTCATAAAATATCAAACCAGCTATTGTTATAAACAAAATTACATAAATAAATTATAGAATGAATGACATTGTATCAATTGTATTGTATTAATTTCACAGAGGAGTCCAGACATCTCTGAACCTAATAACATAAAACATACAGAAATCTTTAAGAAATTTTGTTCAAAAACCAGACATTGGCCAAGTGTGATTTAAAAGGCGTTCAAATATTTATGAAGTTTTTTGCCTACTATGAGACACGGGAATTAATTTTTAGCCTCAGATTACTTAACAAATACAGAAGGGAGCGTACGAAACAGTGCCAGTGTTGTGCAAAAGTGGTAATGAACAGACACTGCTCAAAGCATTTTATCTGCTGTATGTTCACAGGCTATAGGTATAAAACTCAAATGCATGCTGTTAAAGAGAGAACTATGTGAGCAGGTGTTCTTTCACAAATGCAAAAGGAAATAAATCTTGTCAAAAGCCTGTGATGTGAGCAAAAAAATAGCTTGAAATTCCTCAGTCTCTTTCTGCAGTAAATTTGTGTACTGCTCAGCAGTTTTCAGATATAGGTGGCAAATACTACGTATCACCTCGTTCTTGAAAGAGATCCAGTTATACACATGACCTCCGTAAGACACGGCTTAGTTCTGTTGTGTGAACTAGTCTTGTTTCAATTGCCTTAGTCTCGAAATTAAATGCAGTGCTACCAAGCAGCATATATGGACATAATTAGCATCTTTATCATTCTAAGTAAACAGATTAAAGGAAACAAAGAGGCAAACCATGTATTTGTTGTACAAATCACATGAATAATCACATGGCATGGAGGGTACTATTAGCCATGTTCTTTTAAACCAAGTGTCTGAATACGTATAATCCAATATTTAACAAGCATTCTCTACTAAATCATTAGTTACAATATCTCAGACAAGTAATTCTGATATGTACCCACTTCCTTCCCTCGGCCCCTTGATGCACAACTCTGCATTTTAATAAGTATGTTTGAAATTCAAAGTTGTCTCCTTAGTTGTCTTGTTGAGAAGCAAAGCAAATTCTGTTTTGGGGGGTGTCTTAATCAACTTGGAAGGAGGGGAGAGTGTTTACTCTACTTACTATCAGTATCAAATCTAGCACATCGTTCATTTAGCTGTGCCATAAGAGCCTGCAGTTGCACTCAAATTTCTTCAGTAAAAATAGTTGAGTAGAACCATGACTGAAGTTTATAGTAGTTATTCTGCAAATTCTGCAATGTCATTCCCCACATGACATTTTTATGAAAAATGTGACTAATTGGAGGGTGAAATCATTTGGTGAGGTCTGACAAAAAATTAAATTTTGTATTCATTTTCTGGCATATTTCTCCCATATTGTAGTTTTTGAAAGCATGCTATCAAAAACTGTAGTTCAAAAGATATCTGAAAACCTTTCAAAAGTCTATTGAGCTTTTGTTGACCTGAAACTGAAAAGACAAAGTTAATTTTCCAGCTTGAAATTAATGAAAAGTGACTGTTCGTATGAAATGTCTACATTCTTGCTCATTGTGAAAATGGCAGCTGTGTCACTCTCAGGGTAATTTTATTACTTTTGTGTTAAATAAAACTGTACACTGGTATAGTACCTTTGAATGTCATTATTTCAAAACATATTGCAAATATGTCAACTTCATAGAATTCCTCTTGAGTTAGTCAGTGTATTAATATTTACTTGAAACAGAGATGTGAGAATGCAGTTTGTAAAACCTGTAATAGAATCGGAAAGCCTCAGCAACTAGTTTCACGCAGGTTCTGCTGCCTGAACCATACAAAGCCCTTCAGATCACTGAACAAAAACATCTCTTAGTATATGAGCAAGACCACAGATTGCATTGTCATAAAGACAACAAGCCAGTGGTTTTGCATTTGTAGGTAATTTTTTTTTTACATCTTAAGAGCTAAAAGCAATTGAATAATTGTGTTATACTGTTGATATTTCTATGATATGATAGACCATTAATACCATTAATCCCAAAAGAACATTAATCCTGTCTCATTCCACTGTCTCTTTTCAAATGGTTACTTTGCCCTAAAGATTTTCTGAAATGTTTAAACTTTGATAAATATGCATCACTGATTGTAAAAGAACTAAATAATAATTCTTTTTTTCATGAGCTGCTTTACATTTTCCTGGCAATAATATTTTTAATATGATATGTACTTCATCTGTCCAACTACTTGCCCATCCCATTCCTTAGAGGATATTTGCATGGTGTATGTCATGTACTTGCAAGAATATTCACTAAAGAAATCAAGTAAATTGACTGTCTCTCAAAAAAACCCAGTAAGTTTTCTGTTGTGCAGGTTTCTGGGTTAGTCCCTGTATATAACCACCATAGCCAGTACCTTCAGTCTGCAACATTTTTAATAGTTTTGTTAATTCTTTTTGCATATGTCCTGGGACCATAAAAACTCATTGCTACATGCTACTTATATTTTTTTATACCCAAGGACCCCCATTTCAGAAAATACTTGGCAAGGAAAATATTAATGTTTTCTATGATTTGTCTAACATCTCTTTCTATTACATCTGAGCCTTTTTATCATTCCTCTCTTACTCTTGTGATTGTCCTGAGGTGAGCTTTTGATTTCAAAAGGGAGGACACCTGATTGTCTGTGACATGAATGCAACAATATAGTTTGCAGAACAGTTTGTTCCAAAGGCTGGAAAATTTATGTTTGATGTGCAAATGTCATGGCTAAAATGGCATACATTCATCAGGCATTTCTATCACATGAGGATAAAAATTTACAGTAGTGCAGCAATCTGAAAGAGCTGTTCTTTTATAGTTCTGAGTTGTTCAGTAAGTACTAGTAAGATCTATCTTATTGTGGTTGCTCTGTTGCTTGACCCTCCAGTACCAAGCAATTCTGCAGTGGTGACAGCTAAAAGAGCCAAACTATAGATCTGCACTGCTTATAGCAAAGACCTTTGGCTATTGTGTCCTGTAGGAAGAATAGAGAAGACATCTAAGCAATTATTGTGTAAAGCACAACAGTAACAGAAAGCTTCTCATTGGATTTAATCTCTGTTATTATTTCCAAGAAGTATTACTACAAGTGTTACTGTGTACAGCTGCAGAAAATGACTCTTAAGTGGTTTAATTTTATATTTAAGGATCAGAACTAATGGCTGCTTAGTTTGCAGTGGTACACATGTTCCAATAAAAGTGAGATTTGAAATGAAGCTTCTGTCACTCTTCAACCATTTTGCCTTCTCTCTCCTGAAAATCTAAGTGGTTCGTTTGTGTTTCTCAGCCCTTTAACAGCAACCCAGTTTCTGTTTAAGTTTCTTTTCACAACAAACAGTGTCTTACTGTTTATGAATGTCCATTTAGTTTATTTGATAAAGATTAAAAATAAAGTATTAAATCAAAAGCAGTAAAGACTACATGATCCTATTCAGGTAAAAAATTCAGTATAATGGCAGTGGAGCTATATATACAATGATAAGACAAATAATAATATGTAGTTATAACTCCAGGAAAGAAAATCTGGACTCAGTTGGATCTGATAACTCTGCTGACAAGTAGCCTTCTAAGCAATATCGTGTTACTTACATATACATTTCATATTCCTTGGGTTTCTCGAGCTGCTGCTAGGGA